GTAATTGAAGAAGGTGCGGAGGAATCTGCCAGTTGGTTAGAGTACAATAATGCTCCATTTACTACGGTCCAAGAGCACTGGAAAAAGAGTCATTCCTTTAGATTTGCAACAAATATAACATCTGGCATTTCAATCTTCGATTATTTTGAGAAATTTATTGCTTTAAAATTGCCAACGGGAATTTTATTGGTAAGTGTAAGTTTGGATTACCTACCTAATAATATTATATAACCCATCTTTTTTAGTTGGAAGATGATTTTAATCGTTTGCATCCCGATAAAAAGGACAAACTGTTTGAACATTGGACGAATATCAGTGAAGCTATAATAGTTCTGGCAAAAAGGAAGAACTGTCCCTTAATCAAACAATTAATAGAAAGCATTAATAATTTGGACTCCGCATCTTATCGTAAGGCATATATTAGGATTAAATGCAGTGTGCACTTAAACGTTTATTTTCAAGGTGTTAAAGAACATTTATCATTACTTCTATTCCCTCTAATATTTCCCAACATATACCGAAAAATTAAAGGAAAACAAACGCCAAATTTCTCCAAAATCGAAATCAAGGATTCATTTATACTGCACATAAAGGTAAGTTCAAAACCTATAGTTAGGTTATACCTATTTTATTAAATATTATCTTCCTTGATATTAGGAGGAGGCCGATTATGCCCAAATTTTGGAAGCCAGGGAGCAGAAGTGTGTGCGGTTAAAACTAACAGAGCAACCATCTGCCATCATAGTAGGAGATATCGAACAACCCATTAAATATCTAGTTAAAATAAACGCCCATGTATATGAAGTGGAATCATTACTGAAGGCATTGGATTTGTGTTTCAAAGCTTGTTTTGCTTTAAATGCTAAATATCCCGTTGAAAGTCAGCAATGCTTTACATATATACAAAAACACATCTACGGAATTCACACAGAGTTTGATGTAAACTTTGTAGCGGTAAGTTCCGTAAAATCTGATCTAGACGCTATTTTAATAGATTCCACAACATAACAGATAAAACCAGAGTAAATATCACATTTACCAATTGTCTTACTTATTTTAAAAAAATTAAAATGATTGTGTGTAAACAGTGTCATGGGAAATATAAGTCGCTTGCAGCGTTTATAACTCATTATGAAATTTTTCATAAAAATGTAAAATCAATTTTGTGTGGAATATCAGATTGTTACAGAGAATTCAATTCTTGCAAATCATTTCGGAAACATTTTTCTCGTGTACATAGAGATTTTTCGGTAGAAGAACCACTTAATAACCAAAGTCCTAACACCGAAAGAAGTCATAGTTTATCTAATGACGTCGTATCAGCTGTTATAGACAGCCTATCAAGCAATTCTGAAAGCGATAATATTTGCGCCTTTAGTTATAGAGAGATGATCTTGAAAAACACGTCCTACTTTGTTTCTAAATTATATGGTGATCGTGTGTTGGCCAGAAATAAGGTTATTCGCATCATCAACGATGTACATAGTCTTCTCAAATCTTTCGTAAATATAATAAAACAGAATCTCACCTTTTTAGGTATTGTTGGGAATGAGCAGAAAATTACGAATTTATTAAATGAAGTTGATAACTGTTTGTCTACATTTTCTACTGAATATAGATGCGTTAAATATTTTAAAAATGAAAAACTTTTTGTAGAACCAAAAAAACACTTGGTGGGTACCAAAATTTGTAGAAAAAAACATTTTGGAAAAATTACGCTTAAATCAATCAATCATTGCGTGAGATACATTTCTATGGTAGAAACTATGGCTCTTTTCTTTCAACTTCCAGGTGTATTACAAAAAACAAAGGCCCACGTTAATGCGTTATTAAACGAACAAAATTTATTTTGCAACTACATTCAGGGTCCACATTGGAAAGAAAAATTAATTGTCCACGACGACAACTGTATGGTGCTCCCACTATTTTTATATTTTGATGAGTTCGAGACTGGCAATCCTCTTGGATCTCACTCAGGATGTAATAAATTAGGTGGTATTTACTATAGTATACCATGTTTGCCTACCGACATACAATCCAACTTATCTAATATCTTTGTCGCAATGTTATTTAAAACTACAGATTTGAAGCTGTTTGGAAAAAAGGTAATACTAAAATGTATAATTGACGAATTAAACTCTTTGAGTACACACGGAATTGTCATTAACGGTGAAAAAATTAAGTTTCAATTGGCTTTACTGCTTGGAGACAACTTAGGTCAAAATACCATGCTTGGGTTAGTAGAATCTTTTACCAGTCATTACTGCTGTCGGCTGTGCAAATCTCCAAAACTCGCAAGAGATAGGCAATGTAAAGAGGACTTAGAAAGTATTAGAACAGTAGATAACTATTTCAATGACTCATCTAATTACGAGTATGGAGTAAAAGAAATGTGTGTTTGGCACTCTGTTAAAAATTTTCACTTAGCTTCAAATTTTTCAGTTGATATCATGCATGATGTATTGGAAGGAGTGTGTGTATATGATATTGTATTAATTTTGAGAAAGTGTTTAGAAGCAAAATTATTTTCTTTGGAAACACTAAATTATCGCATAAAATGTTTTAATTTTGGATTCGAAAGTAATGTACCCCCTCCAATTAAAATGATGCACTTGAACGACAATCACCTTCGAATGTCAGCAGCTGAGATGCTGTGCTTCACACGTTATCTTGGTGTTATAATTGGAGATCTGGTGCCGAAGGGTTTTGGTGTTTGGAAATTGTATCGATCATTAAGAAAATTAATTGACTATCTTACGTCTAAAAAGTTACAAATTAATTGTGCAGCTATAATTGCAAATATAGTGGAGGAACACAATCAATTGTATTTGGAGTTTAGTAAGTCTCACTTAAAATTTAAGTACCATATTCTCACTCATTACCCTCGAGTTTTCAAACACTGTGGGCCATTTCCTTTTTATTCTTCAATCCGATTTGAGGCAAAACACAAAAATTTAAAGGCAATTGCAAATTCCATTTGTAGCAGAGTTAACATAGAAGATTCTATTTTGAAAAGACTTCAATTGAGTTTAAGTTTTCATTTACTTTCATTGAAATATAACACGGAACCAAAACGTTGCATGGGAAATTTGAAAAAAGAAACTGTTGCACATCTGCACAAAATGTTTGCAAATCTTATAATACCAAATGATTTGAGGAACGTAGAGGAAATCTTTACCTGTACTTGGGTGCAATTTTTTGAAAATCGATACTCCATAAACACAAATTTCACCTTAATAGATAGTTTAAGTGATGATCAGCAACCATCATTTTGTATTCTTAAGAAAATCTTATATATCAAAGAAAAAATATATTTTCTAGTTGAAGAAACAGAAACGGTTTACTTTGACGAGCATTATTATGCATATAAAATAAACACAAGTGCAAAATTTAAATTGATTCTGGCAAGTGACTTATGTAGCCATGTACCCTGTCTATTTGTAAAAAGAGACTATCAGTTCGTCGTATGTCATCACAGGCTGTAAATATAGTAGGTATTATGTTTTATGTTTATTATGTGTAATACATGTTTTTTTTGTATGTATATGTAAGCATACCAAGTAGATAGTATTATCTACTCTACCTGTATGTATCGTTATATCTAATTATATACCTATATTGTAAAAGGATCCTTTTTTACGTTTGTTAATAAAAATGTATAATGTATACTTTACTTTATTTGTTCTCTTGGTGTATACTTCGAATTGGAATATGCATAATACAACGCAATGGTAATGACGTTTAGCGCATTAGTCATTTGACAAACGCTTACATAGTAGTTTTGGTAACAAACGTTAAGAGTACACCACCACATAAACTAGTTGGATTACACACTAGTATGTCATGTTTGCGCAGATAAAGAACAAAGGTATGTGTATAAATTTTATTATTGTATATTTCCATAATATACAGTTCTTAAATATAGTATGTAGTTGTTATACATTACTTCCTTCTTGTGTTTCATTACAACAACATGTTGTATAGGTTACTTTCTATAGTGAGTATAAGATATTTGTTTAAAATATATTCCAAACTAGTAACGCTCTACAAATTTGTTGTTGTAAAGAATAACACTTGTCGTCATGGGCGCTCATTTTACAGCAACCAGTTGTATGACATGTACTTTTTTTGTTATTAATGACACTTCAGTTTTCTCAGT